GGCGCGAGCGATGCGAGGTCCAGCTCGATGCCCGTCCCCGCGGTCCACGTCGCGGAGCCTGAGTACCTCCAGTTAAGCTTCTTGGGGCGCGTGATCACTGCGCTGGCTGGGCCATCCATGTGCTTCCACGGCTTCCTGCCCCCCCCCCCCCCCCCCATGAGGCGCTCCCGCTTCTCCCGCGCCCTGGCCAATCTCGTGGCTGACGCCGCCGCCCATGACGAGCTGGGCCCGCGCGTAGATGGGCTCGACCGCAGCGACGCGCTCGGGGAGCTGGCGCAGTGTCTGCTCGAGCTGAGACGCAAGCCACGTCGATGTAGCTGATGGCGTCTTGCCCCGGCCCGCCCTCGTGAGCCTCGCCATGGTTGCCATCTTGGACGCGGGCGCGCCCACCACCTGCAAGCCGTGCTGCGTGGCAGGTCCCAAGTTTAGCGTCCCTCATCCCGCGCGCAATCTCGAGGCGCGCCCGCGCCCTGCGGAAACGAGGGATGCGCTTCTTGTCGCCCGCGCGCGCAGGAGAGGGAGGCGGGCGTGCCCGCGCGCGTCTCCATGCCCAGCACGCTCAAGAACGTGGCTTCTCGAAAGCCATGGGACTGCGTCTGCTCCATTACCTTCCTGGTTACCTCGCTGTCGGAGCTGAGCACCTTCGCGTCGCCCTTGGCCATGGGTAGCTTGAGCGCTTGGGGCCCTGCGGCGAGCTTGTTGAGCAAAGCGGCCGCCTTGGCTACGACGGTCCTGATTGGCCCCCGTTTGCTTGCTGTCTTCTCCCCGCGCAGCGGGAACTTTGTGTTGGCGCTCCGCCGCCACTTCTCTGAGGGCCGTCGCCGTCGTCTCCCGGTCGCGCCACCGCGTCGCGTTCTCCGCCGCCGCCTCGGCCCAAGTGGAGGCCGGCCACCAATTCTTAATGCGCCGGGGGCGCTGGGATTTGAAGTCGCCATTTGCCCCTCGCCGCTGTCTCCAAATGCAGAAGACAGCAGCGCGGCCCGTCAAGAATGACAACTGAACGTGAATAGCTGGGGACCGAGCTCCGGAAGCCACGCCGGCGGAGTTCTGCGCGGACTTGCGCGGGCCCCGGGAGGAAGAACGGCGGATTGTGAACGGGGGGCGGGGCGATTGGACACTTGCGCGGCTGCATTTGCTAGGCGACGCGCGCAGCCCTCCGGCCCCTGGGCCACCCAGGAGAAGCTCGACAAAGCGCCGGCGAAGCCCAGTGGGGGCGGAAGCAGCCCATAGGCCCCACAAAGCATCTCTGCGGAGGTCATCGAAGAATTGCCAAGCGAGTGCAACGACGGGCCGAGGGCGAACCTGGCTCGCGGACGGAGAGCCTTGGCATGCCCGGCGGAAGGGGCAACGTCGATGGCGACGGCGCCGCCCATGGTGATTGGCGCAACTACTTCGGCGAAGTTCAGACCCGCCGCAGGTTTGCGCGGTGCGCGAGCTCCCTGGCCCTGGCTCGCGGGCGCGGCCGCTGCCGGCCCTGACCTTCATATCGGCGCAGGCGGCGCCCGCGCCTGGCAGCCGCGCGGGCGCCGGGCTGCAGAGCTGGCCAGGGAGCGGCGGCAACCGTAGACCACTGCGCAACTAAACTTCAGGAAGGCCACCAGCCACGTCGATCATCGCGCCGCCTTCAAGGCCGCGAAACTCCCGGGGGTAGCCCGTGGTTGGGTTCTCCGAGATCATGTCGGCGATCTGGAATCGGAGTTCGGCGCGGGTCAATTTTGGACAGATCGCCTCGGGCGAGACAGAGGTGGACAGGGGCCCCCCGGGAGGCGCGCTGGAACCTCCGTCCGCAGATTTGTGCGACGATCGTGGAAGCGATGATCCAGGGGCTGGAGCTCCGTTGGCATCTCCCGCGCCTGCCACGGTGGCGACGTCGCGCGCGCGGCCGCGCCCGTGGAGTACATGGAGGAGATGATCGCAGATGTGGTGGCCGAACTGAGGGAGAGCGGTCTCGGCGCAGGCCCGGAGCAGACGCGCCGGGCCAGCGCCATGCCCGGACTTCGACTAGCATCTGAAAGTGATGGTGAAGGTGATTGAGAGGGCAGCCCAAGACTCGGGCCGCGGGACTCGCGTCGCGAGCTGGGGCGCAAGGGAAGCGGCCAAGGTGCTCAGGCTCCACAGGGCGCCGTGGCAGTCGATCGATCAGTGGTGGCGGTTCTAGATGGGGCGCTGGGCGATCGATGGGCGTCGCGCCAATCTCGTGCAGCAGCGCCGTCAAAGAATCCACGGCTGGGGCCACGCCGCTCTCCCCGCTGCCGCGGCGCGCAGCGGTGTGGGCGGGGTCAGGCGCGGAACGCGGCCGCGAGAGATGAATGCTCTGGGCAGCATGCGCAGCGCCTCAAGATCCGGAGCTGGGAAGAGCAGGTTTCGATCGCGGAGAAGTGTGGCGGCGGCTTCACTGAGGATGTCCGCGCTGGCGACGGCTGGCTCACCGCCGCGCTCGACCTGGGCGGGCTGGAAGCACCTCGGTGCAGAGAGTTGACTCTGGGCGGGCGGCGGGGACAGCAGACGCGGGATTGGCGCAACCCCCCCCGGCTCTCGACAGGTGCCCAGAGACAGAGAGAGAGAGAGAGAGAGACATTAAAAGCGAGAAAGAGAGAAGGAGAGACGGACGGACAGACAGACACACAGACAGACAGACAGACAGACTGACTGACAGACAGACAGACAGACAGACAGACCGACAGGCAGACAGACAGGCAGAGAAAAAGAGAGACGAGACAGAGGCAGAGACGGAGACGGAGACAGAGACAGAGACAGAGACAGACGCAAACAGGCAGGCAGACAGACAGACAGACAAACAGAGTGAGAGAGAGCGCAAGAGCAAGTCGAGGTGGAGGCGGGCGGAGACAGGAGAGCTGCCGTTGTTTCAGCTCGTCTTGCTCCAAACGATGGAGGACGGGTCTTCGTATGGCGCGCGCGCCCGGGCACGCTGGCGACGCGAGCGGCGACGTGACCCCAGCGGAGAAGGAGGTAGAGGAGGAGGCACAGGAGTGGGGGGGAGGACAAGGAGGAGGAGGAGGAGGAGGAGGAGGAGGAGGAGGAGGAAGAGGAGGAGGAGGACGAGGACGCGGACGAGGACGCGGACGAGACGAGTGACTGAGGAGGAGGAGGAGGGAGGAGGAGGAGGAGAGGAGGAAGAGGGAGGAAGAGGAAGTAAGAGGAGGAAGAGGAGGAGAGTAGGAAGAGGAGGTGGTGGTGGAGAGGAAAGGAGTAGTAGTTATAGCAACATAAGAACTATAATAATTAATATTAATAATAAGAATAACAATACCAGTACTATACCAATGATTAACAATAGTAGTACTACTAAATCATTACTACTACTAATAATAGAATAATGATAACGAATAATATCTAGTACTAGTATATTAAGTAGTAGTAGTAGAAGTAGGTAGTAGTAAATAATAATAATACTAAACATAATACTGATAACACATAATAATCACAACACTACTAAATCATAACAATAAAAAATGATACCTAAAGGGAGGAGGAGGAGAAGGAGGAGGGAGGAGGAGAAGGAGGTGATGAGGAGGAGGAGGAGGAGGAGAGCGCGGAGGAGGAGGAGGAGGAGGAGGAGGAATAATATTTATAAGAAGACTAATAAGAAAGAAACATAATAAGAATAATAAGAAGAAATGATGACGAATAAGACGAATCATAAGGATAATAATGATCATACTAATACTAAGAAGAAGACTAAGAAGACTACTAACCATAATAATAATGATAATAATAATACTAATACTAATAATAATAATACTAATAATAATAAGAATAAGAAGAAGACGAATAATAAGAATAATAAGAAGAATAATAAAAATAATAGGAAGACGATGAGGAGGAGGAGGAGGACGAGGAGGAGGAGGACGCGGACGAGGACGAGGACGAGGACGAGGACGAGGACGAAGAGAAGGAGGCGGAGGAGGAGGAGGAGGAGGAAGGAGGAGGAGGAGGAGGAAGAGGAGGAGGAGGAGAGGGGAGGAGGAGGAGGAGGAGGAGGAGGAGGAGGAGGAGGAGGAGTGATAGCAGGAGCAGCATGAGCAATAGGGTCAACTCAGCCATACCGAGCGAGTCAGCGCCCCCCAGTCCCGCCCTCCTCTTCATGGCATGAGATATTGGAGCTGCAATGCGTTCCCACCAAGCGAACTGAAGGCGCTCGCGCACGGCTCCGCTTCCGACGATATGGCGAGGGGAAGAGGCGCGCCGCGCGCCGGCGGGGGCGGAACATCTGAAATTCTTCGCGCTTCGCGCTTCCCCGCCAGCCCACGCGGAAACCCCGCCCGTGAGAGTTGACGGGGAATTTTGCAAAGAGACACGCGTAGTGAAACAGAGCGGGCAACCAGAGTGAGCAGAGAGATCTTTGGGGGCAATGGGATGGCCTTGGCGCGTCTCTTCGGGCCACCCCTGCGGCCCGCGCAGTGGCGAGAAAAACAGGGGGAAGACGACAACGACAACGACGACCGCGACGACGCGGAAGAGGAGGAACGGGACAAGGAAAACGACGAGGGCCAGGACGAGGACGAGAAGGAGGAAGACGACAACGAGGACGAGGGCAGAGCCTTCAAATCGCGGGACTCTTGGTCCCTTTGGGGCCCTACGGGGCTTCTTGGAACCATTTTGGAGACCGTCGAACAGCAGGTACGGGGTCTTTGATTTGGCCCCCACCCATTTGGGCCATCAAGGTAGGCGTTGCGGCAGCTCAGGCAGTGTCGAGCTTCGCGTCCTGCAACTTCTCAGGACTGCGCGTAGTTTGACAGTTTTTCTGCGTCAGCATGTTCGTGCCAGCTGTGCCCAATGTCCATGCTGTGTTTTTGCCAGCTGTGTTGCTGTGTCAGCTATGCTGCTGTGTCAGCTGTGTCAGCATGCTTGCGCGTAGCTCGACATTTTTTTGGTGTCAGCTGTGCCCAATGTCCACGGCGCAGAATCTATAGCCATTTTGGCTCAAGTGCGCCTGTCTTTGTTTTGCTAGAAGCGAGAAAGACTACAGTTTGCAGCCGATGGCGCTCCTCATCGCCGCGGCCTCGCTGCTGGCACTCGCGCACGCTTCGGGCCCGCAAGCTTCCTGCGCTGTAGGGCAGCAGTGCCCCGCGGGAGAGCAAGATGACACGGGCCTGCTCCAGAAGAGCTCCCAGATGATGCAGGTGAATCGGCATGAGCAAATGAGCGTGAGGACAACGCCCACGAACGACGCCGAGTGCAAGGCCGTGAAGGGCATCAACACGGGCCTGCCCATCGTCTACGACTCCAGCTGCCCCGGCCTGTGCTGCTTCGAGGACCAGCCGTGCAGGTACAACAACACGGGCTGCTACTCCGCAGCCTTGGCGCAGCAGAAGGTGAGGACGACGCCCACGAACGACGCCGAGTGCAAGGCCGTGAAGGGCATCAACACGATCCTTACCGTGATCATCATTCCACTGGCCCGGGCCTGTGCTGCTTCGAGGACAATCCGTGCAGGTACAACAATACGGGCTGCTATCTCCGCAGTCCTGGCGCAGCAGAAGGTGAGGACTACGCCCAACGAACGACGCCGAGGCAAGGCCGTGAAGGGCATCAACACGGGCCTGCCCATCGTCTACGATTCCAGCTGCCCCGGCCTGTGCTGCTTCGAGGACCAGCCGTGCAGGTACAACAACACGGGCTGCTACTCCGCAGCCTTGGCGCAGCAGAAGGTGAGGACGACGCCCACGAACGACGCCGAGTGCAAGGCCGTGAAGGGCATCAACACGGGCCTGCCGATCGTCTACGACTCCAGCTGCCCCGGCCTGTGCTGCTTCGATGACCAGCCGTGCAGGTACAACAACACGGGCTGCTACTCCGCAGCCTTGGCGCAGCAGAAGGTGAGGACGACGCCCACGAACGACGCCGAGTGCAAGGCCGTGAAGGGCATCAACACGGGCTTGCCCATCGTCTACCAGCGGGCTGCTACTCCGCAGCCTTGGCGCAGCAGAAGGTGAGGACGACGCCCACGAACGACGCCGAGTGCAAGGCCGTGAAGGGCATCAACACGGGCTTGCCCATCGTCTACGACTCCAGCTGCCCCGGCCTGTGCTGCTTCGAGGACCAGCCGTGCAGGTACAACAACACGGGCTGCTACTCCGCAGCCTTGGCGCAGCAGAAGGTGAGGACGACGCCCACGAACGACGCCGAGTGCAAGGCCGTGAAGGGCATCAACACGGGCCTGCCCATCGTTTACGACTCCAGCTGCCCTGGCCCGTGCTGCTTCGAGGACCAGCCGTGCAGGTACAACAACACGGGCTGCTACTCTGCAGCCTTGGTGCAGCAGAAGGTGAGGACGACGCCCACGAACGACGCCGAGTGCAAGGCCGTGAAGGGCATCAACACGGGCTTGCCCATCGTCTACGACTCCAGCTGCCCTGGCCTGTGCTGCTTCGAGGACCAGCCGTGCAGGTACAACAACACGGGCTGCTACTCCGCAGCCTTGGCGCAGCAGAAGGTGAGGACGACGCCCACGAACGACGCCGAGTGCAGGCCGTGAAGGGCATCAACACGGACCTGCCCATCGTCTACGACTCCAGCTGCCCGGCCTGTGCTGCTTCGAGGACCAGCCGTGCAGGTACAACAACACGGGCTGCTACTCCGCAGCCTTGGCGCAGCAGAAGGTGAGGGCGACGCCCACGAACGACGCCGAGTGCAAGGCCGTGAAGGGCATCAACACGGGCCTGCCCATCGTCTACGATTCCAGCGCCCCGGCCTGTGCTGCTTCGAGGACCAGCCGTGCAGGTACAACAACACGGGCTGCTACTCCGCAGCCTTGGCGCAGCAGAAGGTGAGGACGCGCCCACGAACGACGCCGGGTGCACGGCCGTGAAGGGCATCAACACGGGCTTGCCCATCGTCTACGACTCCAGTTGCCCCGGCCTGTGCTGCTTCGAGGACCAGCCGTGCAGGTACAACAACACGGGCTGCTACTCCGCAGCCTTGGCGCAGCAGAAGGTGAGGACGACGCCCACGAACGACGCCGAGTGCAAGGCCGTGAAGGGCATCAACACGGGCCTGCCCATCGTCTACGACTCCAGCTGCCCTGGCCTGTGCTGTGCTTCGAGGACCAGCCGTGCAGGTACAACAACACGGGCTGCTACTCCGCAGCCTTGGCGCAGCAGAAGGTGAGGACGACGCCCACGAACGACGCCGAGTGCAAGGCCGTGCCGGGCATCAACACGGGCCTGCCCATCGTCTACGACTCCAGCTGCCCTGGCTTGTGCTGCTTCGAGGACCAGCCGTGCAGGTACAACAACACGGGCTGCTACTCCGCAGCCTTGGCGCAGCAGAAGGTGAGGACGACGCCCACGAACGACGCCGAGTGCAAGGCCGTGAAGGGCATCAACACGGGCTTGCCCATCGTCTACGACTCCAGCTGCCCCGGCCCGTGCTGCTTCGAGGACCAGCCGTGCAGGTACAACAACACGGGCTGCTACTCCGCAGCCTTGGCGCAGCAGAAGGTGAGGACGACGCCCACGAACGACGCCGAGTGCAAGGCCGTGAAGGGCATCAACACGGGCCTGCCCATCGTCTACGACTCCAGCTGCCCCGGCCTGTGCTGCTTCGAGGACCAGCCGTGCAGGTACAACAACACGGGCTGCTATTCCGCAGCCTTGGCGCAGCAGAAGGTGAGGACGACGCCCACGAACGACGCCGAGTGCAAGGCCGTGAAGGGCATCAACACGGGCCTGCCCATCGTCTACGACTCCAGCTGCCCCGGCCTGTGCTGCTTCGAGGACCAGCCGTGCAGGTACAACAACACGGGCTGCTACTCCGCAGCCTTGGCGCAGCAGAAGGTGAGGACGACGCCCACGAACGACGCCGAGTGCAAGGCCGTGAAGGGCATCAACACGGGCCTGCCCATCGTCTACGACTCCAGCTGCCCTGGCCTGTGCTGCTTCGAGGACCAGCCGTGCAGGTACAACAACACGGGCTGCTACTCCGCAGCCTTGGCGCAGCAGAAGGTGAGGACGACGCCCACGAACGACGCCGAGTGCAAGGCCGTGAAGGGCATCAACGCGGGCCTGCCCATCGTCTACGACTCCAGTTGCCCCGGCCTGTGCTGCTTCGAGGACCAGCCGTGCAGGTACAACAACACGGGCTGCCACTGAGGGGAGAGCTGTTGTGTATTATGGGTGGCTAAGATTTGCTGCCGCATTAGAAGGGTATGTCGGAGGCCTAGAGGATGACATCAACACCAATATCGGCGGTGTGCCTCCATGGAGGGAAGAAGATCCCGATCTCGCTGATGGTGGTAATATTATGGCTTCCAAGGTGGCCGAAATATTACCACCAACACCGGAATCTAGGATCATCTTCCCCCTGTGGAGGCAACCCCCTGTGTTGGTGTTGGTGCCGATTTCCAGGCCTCCGAGTATGGTGAGTGAGTGAGTGAGTGCATTGTGCGTTGTGCCAGCTCCGGCAGTGTCGATCTTGTGTTCTGCGATTTCAGTTTCGTGTAAGCATGCTGGCTGTGCCCAATGTCCACGGCGCAGCAGTATGTGTACTTAATGCTTCTCCTGCGTTCCGACTCCTGGACCTGAATGTCTGGGGGCACTTGGGCGGAGCGGCCGCTTCGTGTTGTGACCGTTTTTGCCCACGTGTGGTCTTGTCACAGGAGGGATTGGTCAGATCAATGCATCTGCAGATTGGTCAAAAGATGACCCTGTCGCGACCCAAGTCGAGTGGTATCCTATCGGAGGCGTACATGCGCAACGCGACACGACGGGGTGACATCCAATGAGGTGACATACATTGTCCATCACGTTAAAGCAAAATGCCGCGAAGCATAACACCACTTAACATGTCAAGACATCTCAGTAGTGTGTAGCATTGAATAACAATGCATGGCGTATCGTAGCAAACGTTGCTCCGCATATAAAACATGACCGATCATTACGTACCGTAGTGCAGTGTGGCAGAGCACATCAAAACATCTACAAACAACTCGCATAATGACAGCATTTGTCATTCTTCACGCTTCGCGTATCCCCATCAGTCTCTCCACACCCTGGATGCGCTTCTTACGTCGCGACTTGCCGCCTGCTCTTCAGTTGCTACCTGTCCCCAGTCGGCCTGTGGTACCCTGCAGGCTCCATGGATCGGTGCCCTCTGGACGTAATTGCTGGACGGCTTCCTACCGCGATCTTGGATCAGTGGCTTTGTGGGACTTGCCTGGGTATACACAGTCTCGTTCCGCTTGTGCTTTCCGCCTCATTGGACTGCACTGTGACACTGTGCCGTGCACACGCCGCGTTTCGACGGGAGCGTGCATTCGGTGCCCTTTCACCCGTTGGGTCTGGGCCGATACGTCTTGGTGTGGTTGTCGTTTCGGAACATGGATGCACCTTGATGTCGCTGACGCCGCGGTTCGCTGCCGCCGTTGGGATCCTCGTTGGACTTACCACCCCGACCTCTGTGTTACCCGACAGGCTGGGGCTGGCGTCTTCGGCCGTTCCCTTGTTCGCTCTTGGACGTTGGGACGTTTTCGCGCCATTTTGGCTGCGTTTGGTGGTTTCGGTGCCAACCTCAGGCCTGTTGGACGCACCTGCATGCCCGTTCAGGGGCTGTCATGGCACCTGGACTGCATCGTCTTCCCTGGACGCTGTCGTGAGCCGCCTGATCCGCGGCCCTGCGCGCGTTAGGTAATGTAGTCGCGTCCGCGGCCCGTTCGCGACCTTCCGCCGCTGGCGCTTCCGCCTGCGGCTTATATATATATATATATATATATATATATATATATATTGCTGGCCGCTGAGGTGCCGCGTGAGGCTTCGGCACACCGCTTTAGGTTAATTCGTCTTTGCGCGCCCCGCTCTGACTGGACTTGCCGCTTGCGCGCTCGCCTGCGGCCGCTGACCAAGAAGTATCCCCATCAGCCCATTCGGAAACCCTGCCTATGAGAGTTGACGGAAAATAGACGTGTGAGACACATGTACTGAAACACAGCGGGCAACCAAGTGAACAGAGGGCAGTCCTTGGGGCCGCGTGGGGGCGAGGGAAGGACGAGGAGGAAAACAACGACGACGAGGAAGAGGAGGAAAGGACAAGGAAGACGATGAGGGCAAGGACGAGCAGCGAGCACATGGGATGACGCGCCGAGTTCGGGTTCGGGAACTAAAAGAGAGATGGGAACAGCGTAGTGGCACAATCTATCACGTAACACAGGACAACGCCAACGCACAGACAAATAACGTAGTCGAGCGAGGGGGATGCGACATCGCCGACGCACCATTCGAGACCCTACTCGGCCCACGAGCACACAAGACTAAACCAAACGAATTCACACCGAAGCTAGTTTAGCGATATGAGGCCTAGCCAACAAGCGGCTCCATCAGTGGCCACGAGCTCTCTGGACACGGGAATGGGGGGTCCACCTTTGGCTCTTTTGGGTGGGCCCTTGACATGAAATTATCCTTGCGCCATTTGCGCTGGTGGTTGTCAACCAACAGGTCAGGGTCGCAGTAATTATACAGCTGCGACCTGCCCCCGCGATCTGATTGCGCCCCACATAGAGCACAACCGCGATATCATTGGCAATGTACAGTCGGTGGCCACGAGCACTCGCGGGCGGGACGGGCCCCTCAATTGGCAGCGGCTCCCCAGGAGGGACAGCGTCGCACCTGCCGACAGGGGGGTGAACTCCGACGGCGCTTCTTCGAGCCAGCCTCCACCGCGGCCCCGGGGGCCTCCGCGAGCCCAAGGGGTCTCCAGGACGGGCGCGAAGGAGACGCGCAGACGCGCCATGCGCGCGAATTCCGCCGACGGGTCGGGCGATGGCGCCCTGGGGGTGGAGGGGGGCATGGGAGGGGCACCGCCGAGGACGAGTAGGGGGGGGCGGGGTCGAGGCCAGGCTTGCCCCGGTCCTGGCACACAGTGGCCCGGTCAAGCGGCGCGCCCTGCGGGGGGGCGCTGCTCTCGCGAGCTTCGCTGGGGGAAGGAGGGGGCCGGCAGGGAGGCCCGCGCGAGGGCGAGAGGGTGGGGGCGGGGGCTTGCGGTGCACTCTTGCCAGTGACTCTCCTACGAACGGTTCTGCTCTCGACATTCCTTGAAGCTCTATCGAGGGTCCTCTTGGGGCCAGGTCCTGGGGCGTCAAACTGAAGGCCCGCGGGGGGGTCGGCACTGCGCGGCTGCGCGCGACACGGCTCCGCGCCCATCCGCTTCCTTCCCGCCCGGGGCCTGGCCAACCTAGGGCATCTGGCGCACTTCCAGCCTAGTTCATGCGATGGGGGCGTGCGGCACAGCGCCAAGCGCTATCGCAGGGTGAACTCGCTTGTCGTTCGCTCTCTCGGGGCGAACGCCGCCTCTCGCATGCCTTGTCTTGCGGCCGACCGTCTCGATCCTGTCGGAGGCCGCCCCGTCCTGCATCGACTGGTAGTTGGCGGTCCACGCTGCCGCCTGGCGGAGCTCCTGGAGCAACTCGGTGCGCTTTGCGATCGCATTTTCACGGACCCCATGATATCGGAGCCCCCGTTTAGCCGCAATGTCCGCCCGGTCGTTGCCAACATTTGTCCGGTCGATCCGTCGTGATCAACTCCGACTGGGGCGCCTTGGCCCGCGAGATGCTGCGGCCCTCCAAGGCCCCACCTTGGTCCTGCACCAGGTGCCAGAACTGCTTCCATAGGTCGAGGTGGTCGCGCCGTAAATGCAAGCACCACGCTGGGCCCCTGCACGTGGCCTCCACCACGTAGAGACTATCCGTTTTGATGGCCACGGACAGTACGGCGTGTTTCAGCGCCTGGACGATGGCGCGCAGCTCGGCTCGAGGCACAGATTGCTTGAAGCCTGGGGTCGGCCCGTAGGCCGGGCCTCTACATCGATGTCGCGCCATAACTGCAAAACCACATTGCCCGATTCGCCTCTGGCCATCCTATTGGCGAGCGCTCGACCGCCCCCTCGCGCGCGTCGCGCTCGCGGGGGCACTGCCAGAAGCGATGGCGGAGCGTGCCGCCCCAGCTCACGTCGCATATAAGGCAGTAGTCCATGTCCGAGAACTTGCGTTTGGCCAAGCGTTGCTGCGACCACTGGCCGCCGAGGGCGGTGGAGCGCAGGGCGCTTGTCGCTCGCAAGCCCAACCGCCAGCGCCTGGCCGTCTGCGGCGCGCTGAGCATCATGCACAGAGGATCGAGCCAGTAGCCGCGGGGGTCGCTCGACGGCGCCGCCGTCTCAGGCGCCGCCTCTGCTTGCCTCGACCACGCTTCCCACTTCGCGCTGACGAAAGCCATTTTTCGCCACCTTGCGAATCCAGCTGGGCGCGAGCGATGCGAGGTCCAGCTCGATGCCCGCCCCCGCGGTCCACGTCGCGAAGCCTCAGTGCCTCCACTTGAGCTTCTCGAGGCACGTGATCACTGCGCTGGCAGGGCCAGCATTGAGCTTCCACGGCTTCCTGGCCCCCCCCCCCCCCATGAGGGGCTCCCTTTTCTCCCGCGCCCTGGCCAGGATCTCGTGACTGACGCCGCCGCCCATGACGAGCTGGGCCCACGTATAGATGGGCTCGACCGCGGCGATGCATTCGCGGAGCTGGCGCGGTGTCTGGTCGAGCTGAGACGCAAGCCACGTCGATGTAGCTGATGGCGCCTTGCCCCAGCCCGCCCTCGTGAGCCTTGTCATGGCTGCTATCTTGGACGCGGGCGCGCTCGCCACCTGCAAGCCGTGCTGCGTGGCAGGTCCCAAGTTTAGCACCCCTTCTGCTGCGCGCTATCTTGGGGTTTGCCCGCGCCCCGCGGAAACGAGTGATGCGCTCCTTGACGTCCTCGCGCGCGCGCAGGAGAAGGAGGCGGGCTTGCCCGCGCGCGTCTCCATGCCCCCGGCGTCCAAGTACGTAGCTGCTCGACAGCCATGGGGCTGCGTCTGCTCCACTACCTTCCTGGCCACCTCGTTGCCGGAGCTGAGCACCTTCGCTTCGCCCTCGGCTATGGGTAGCTTGAGCGCTTGGGGCACGACGGCGAGCCTGTTGAGCAAAGCGGCCGTCGCGGCTACGACGGTCCTGATTGGCTCCCGTTTGCTTGCTGTCTGTTCCCCGCGCAGCGGGAACTTTGTGTTGGCGCTCCGCCGCCGCTCCTCTGAGAGCCGTCGCCGTCGTCTCCCGGTCGCGCCACCGCGTCGCCTTCTC